TTATTGGATTTTTCTTTTTTTCATCTTTGTAGAGCATACATTCCATATATTATTATAAGAGATTTATCATTGAGATTAAATATGCCATTGTTTTTTAATTTTTAATGTATGGTGTTGGCATCTCATTTCAGTAGCTGTATCATTCCGAGAAAAATTGATTAGAATATATGATTTGGCTACGCTTACATTTGTAATCGAGGAAAGTGCTCAAAGAACGGCTGGAATGCAGGTATATTTTTCTTGAATTTTATATCTTCATAAATTTTTGTTTCAATTTGATGTGTAAATCATCTAAAACGATTCTTTCTAAATATGCTAATTATAGGTTTATTCACGGGAAGGACTTTTCAATGGTATATTTAGTTATCAACAGGATTTCACTCTTAACGGTGTGCACCTGACATGTGGAACATGTTATGTTGTATTGGGCTCATCAAAAGAGAATTTCTTCGTGGTTCCATTGGCTAATAAGTTTGTATCTGTTAAATTTGAAATGCTAAAGTTTTATGTAAATTTTTAGTCGAAATGAACTCATTAGTGAGTTAAGAATAAATATTGTCATCCATTATTTATTATTTGATATTGTTAAATTTCATTTACAAAAAATTCCCCTTAAACTTTCCGTCATATGCGAGGTAAAAGATGCATTTCTGATATAACCTAATATTTTTCTTTTCAAATGTAATCTTTTTTTTTTGGGATTCAGGCATGAAATACAGCTCTGGGATATGCGTATATGTCCAAAGACAGGTGCAGTAATATCGGCTGGAGCAGATGGTCGTCTTCAAGTTTCTCTAAATGGGCGTTTGGCTGCTGTTGGATCGGAGAGAGATTTTTTATTTAGTGCATGCCGAGTTGTTCTGACATTACTAAGAAAATCTGAAGACGTACTGCTGGAGAAGGTATGTTTTAAGGTAGAAAGAAAATTTTTTGGAGATACTTTCAAATCTAATTCTCTTCTGAAAGAAAATTTATTGTTATAAAATATAAGAATAGAAGAGGAAATGAGTGATAGATTTTTATAAATATAGAGGTTCTCATATATTTCGTTATAGAAAAAGAAAATTTTCTTAAAAAAATTTGAATTTCCAGCTGTAAACTTTGATCACCTTACTCAGTGTTGTGTAACTTAATTAGTTTTTTTTTTCCTTTTTTAATTTGCAAGAGCCTTAGTCGATGATACCACTTAACTTTGACAGAATAGTTTGATCTTTAATTGTTTAATGGCTAAAAAAATAAAATTATAGAGTATTGAATCACCTTTAAATGATGGAATCAATACCGATGATAATAGCGAGTATAAAAATGAAGCAAAGTTTCCTCCACCTCAGACAAATTTAGAACTGTGTGCTGAAAAATCACATCTCGAATTTTGTTTTGAGGATGTTAAAGTATGGTTTAATATATGCATGCTTCATAAAAATTTAAAAACGTAGAAGAAATCTCACAAATTCATGTAGTCTTGTGCATATGGGATTACGGCCCAAATTAATTAAAATTTGGAATTTGGATCTTAATATTTGACATTTTCTTGTAAGCGCCTCTTTTGGCACAATAAAAGAAAGATATAACTGTCAGCCAATTTGTTTCTCTAAAAGAATGCATAGCATATGACTTCACATTTGTTAGACATCATGCAAAGACTGCCTAATGTGTTTCATTTTTTTTCTATTTTTTTATAATCATTATTTTAAATTTAATTTTTACAATTGTTTCTGTTGAAATTTGTAATATAAATGTCAACGAGTGGAATTCAATTTTTATTTTGGTGTTTATTAACGCATATATAATTAGTCATTTCCTCAAATTATTAATCTAACCATTTTTTTATTTCTTAGATCGGTAAAACTGCCATATCGCAGTTTAGCTTGGATCTTCGTACGGAATCACTAAACCGATTAGCCGTAAGTGAACCATCTGGTCAGTTAGCAGTTTGTGGCGGTGAAGCTGGCCTTTTGATCTTCATTCCTTGTTATTTGCGATGATCCGGTGTTTATTTTAAGTTTTTTTTGAATTTTAACTTCAGTAGGTCGGCTTATTTTGCTTCCATCTTTTATTGTTATTTGTCACTTATAATAATAACAATGTTTCATACTCTTTTTAAAATTATCCTGTCATGTGCCCTGTGTAAAACTAAACGATTTTACTAGCATTTCAAAAAATAGCCTTTTTTAATTGCCCCAAATAAATTGCAAGCAAATCTTTGCCCTTCATATCAATCTGATTAAATGATATTAATGCAAGATGATTCCATTATAAATGAATAATATTGATATATGACAACTTGAGGTAATCCTTTTTTTTAAATGTATATCAATCATTTTTCTGAAGAAGGAAGCACATTTAAAAAAACAAGAAAAGAAATGGTTTTCTTTAAAGTAATAAAAGTACCTAATTTGGAATAGTAACTGAGGGAAAAAAGATTTATTACCGAATGGGATATTGACAATAAGATCTCTTCATATTTCATTTAAAAAATACCACTTCAATAGGAATTAAAATGGACAATTTAAAATAATAGATGAGTCTTTGAAATTTCGATAATTCAGTGAAACAGGTTACAGTGGAATTTGAAGTTTCGTTGTTGTAAGTAAAAAAAAAGTAAATCCTAACCAGTGTTAGCAGCTGCTAATCGTTTGATAACAATTCAAATCTTTAAATTGCCATTCCATCATGTAATCAGTACATTTTTATTTGCTTACTAAGGAATATATTACATTGAGTAATCAATTTAAGATTTAATATCCTATTCTCTTACTTTTTGTGAAAAATTTATGACAAATATAGCAAAATCACTATTAATTTCAGTGTCGCCTTATCACAAATAAATGTATTGTACATTAAAAAGAATTGATTGATACATGTCAATACATATGAAATCTAATGATTTTTCCATTTAATAATTCTTGAAGGAAAATAAATTTAAAAAAAAACGAAGTATAATTTAGTTAACAATAATTTAAATTTAATAAAATCATTTTTCTATTATATTTTTGTTATTTTTCGACAAGTCATTGTATTTTGATCATATTTTGTTGAGAAGCTTATTTCATTTCTAATCTTTTTTTAATTAGCTTTTCTTTGGAAAAAACTTGTCAAAAATTCTTGAATTATTTTTTCATTGCATAAAATTTCTGAATTATATTTTTTCAAAGATTGATAATTTACTGATTTTTTAAACAATTTATTGTCTAATAAAGATAATTTTTTAGCTAACTGATGAAACTATTATGTTATTTATGTACTAACTAACTGGATATATATGAATTAAATTTGATAAAATTAGAACAAAATTAACGTACATATTGTTTCGTATTTTAATTATTCAGGAGATATACCGAGTAGGATATTAATGATAAGAATCTGCTTATTTATAATTTAATGTGTTATCAAATGAATCACTTACTTATAATTTGATATGTGAATATATTCTGAACTTCTGCAATACAATATTTTGTTAGTTTTTTCATTTATAATATTTATTTAATATGGCACACCGATAAGCAGTTGACTTTAAACATCATAGATGTAACATTTGATTTTTTTTTTTTTTTGGGTAATATTTTCTTCAAATATGAAATTAATTTTCCGGTAAATAAATTTTTTTTTTGGAATTGATCATTCCCGCTGCTAATTAATCAAGCAATATAGCTCGCCCGAAGATAAATTCAGTAACGATGAAAAACTTATACAATCTTTCTCTAAAGGCTGCTATATGAATTCATCATAAATATTGGTAATTGCTATTATTATAACTATTTAAAAAGTAAAAATGAAAAATTTATTTTTGAAAATTGAAAGCATTTTATTATTCTCCAAAGAAAATTAATTTTTAACAGAAAACAAGGGGGTAGATGAAAATCTTAATTCATTTTAATTCTAAAGGAATGAAAAAATTGAAACAAAGGATGTAATTATGGGGAACAAAAAATTTCTTCATAATTATTCACATAAATTCAACCAAAGAAGAAGAAAGAGAATTTACTGTTGTTGAATAAAATACGATATATATTCATGTAATGCATAAATACGTACGTACACAGACGTTAATTTTTACCATTTATTTATAATTATATTTATTCTCTCTAATCTTATCATATTTTATATAAATCTTTAAATTATACATTTAAAAAAGAAATTTAAAAGATAAAAATTTATAAATGTACACATATTTTTGCATATATTTGTATTAATTATTCATTATTAGATTGCTTTTACTCTTTTTTTAATGTCACATACAATGTTTGGCATTCATATACACATATATACATAATTTATCACTTATTATTTATCATTTATCATCGTCTATCATTGCTATTAATTATGTAACATATTGAGTACATTTTTTGGATTAATAAAAATTTTAAAAACTAAAATTTTCTTCTTAGCACTTTTACAAGCATTTCTGTTAAGTAAGATTTATTTTAGCAATGATTTTGATTTGATGTATGTGATATGAAGTGGTATATCAGCTGTTAAATAGTATTTTTAATAAATGTTTTTTTTTTC